ATCTTGGGATAAACAGAACAAGAGAAGTTTCACATCAAATTTTGCAGAAATGTTCTCAATCTAAACAATAAGTAAAGTAAAACGACTATGCAGCCATAAAATACTACAACCATATTGAAAAACAACAAGAAAGCAACTTAGCACACATGAAGAATAATACATATGTTCACGGTTACTAAAAAAGACGGTTAGGAAACGAACCATGTTCTTTTCATTGGATGCGTGTCATGGGTAAACATTTGAAACAAAAGACGTACTCATCTGTGATAAATCATTAACATAAAATGTAGACAGGAAATCAATTTTCCCAGAGTTCATTGCAATCAACAACTGCACGCCATTTCATTGTGTCTCTGTCAATACTTTCAAGTAATACTAAAGTGTAAGTTGTTCCAGTGAATCCTGACAAAACCTGTCGCTCGGTTTAAACTCAATACAAATTTGCCTGTCTTGTGTGGCATTTTCGTTTCTAAAGAACAAGATCGGCAGAAAACTGAAATAAAAAAACCAACAAAACATGATCAGAAAAAAATTTTGTTGGAAATAAACAAAATATGCCATAAGATAACTGAAATAACCCGTCCATGCTCTACAAAATGCATGTAAGCAGACCAAATGTGCAACAACAGGCAGTTCCAATGAAATTAAGAACGATTGATTTGGCGAAGAGACTGCTAGAAAGTTGTACCGACAGTTCAATGTGTTCAAAAATTGTCGCGTGGACAAAAACCGCATTTAACGGCACGCTGAATATTGCAACATGAAAAATTTACCAAAAAACTGAAACAAGGACAGACAAGAACAATTAAACAGGCATATTATGAAACTGGCAGAAAATGTTGAATACATTTTCAACGATTTCTACGGCGTCTACAAAAAAAGTGTTACGACTTTAAACAAAATGGCTGATACAGTGACGCGAAAGCAAAACGATAAAATTTACTCTAATAAGCCCCCAAATCGCACACAACCTTCATAATACGCACAGTAGTGATCCTAAAAATTCATTTGTAGTATTTTTTATAATATAATGTATTTTAAAATAGTGACTTAGGGATTAGAATTTTCGTCACTTTTTCTTCCGGGACCCAAGCTTGCTTTCATGACAACAGTGAAAACGATAAATGACGATTCTCGATTTTGAATGTTATCACAGTCACAAAGAGTACTCATCCGAAATGTACATGTAGTTCTTCGTAGAGCTTGTGCACTAAACGAGGATATTTTATCGAAAACGAGCTTAAAATTTCAAATTCGCGGAACATCAAGTGATCGACACAAAAATGAAACAAAAAGGTGGGCCTTGAAATCTCAAGCAATAGAGGGCAGGGCGTAGACAGCGCGACACGCATCCTTGAGGGATTAGGCAGATTCACACCTTTTAACAATAGCGTTTCCTAACCGTCTTTTTTAGTAACCGTGAAGACACCAAAAAACAGGCATTTTGCTATGCTCAGTCCCAATTGTGTACATAAAGGGACACTTCAAGTTAAGTCTAATCTAACAACAAATTTACTTTCTGGATTAAAATTACAATGGATAACAAAAGATAGATTAACTTTGTAAATAACATAAACAATAGTGTCCTATGATTCTTTGGTGCAATCCCTGGGCTTGGAAGGTTCCCCTTTAATGTTAAAGACCATAAGCATATGGAATTATGTTGTTTGTTATAAAATGTGTCAACAGCAGAGCACAAATTATTAGTATAAAGGTTCCTATTCATAATCATTGTGAATCATAAAATAACCAAAGCACAAAATCTATTTGAGTTTAATTTCAAAGCTACCGTAAAAACTCAATCAATTCGGCCATGTAAAAATAAATATTTTTCGGGGTGGGCCAATTGATTGAATAAATATAGAAAATATGTTTCCGAAGTGGTCGATTTGTTTGAATAATTTTTCAACGTTTTAAAACTGGGTTCGAAGTGTGTATCACCGGTAACTGAATAAATATATCGTTTTCCCGAGATTAGAGTAAAGGTGTAGTACTAGTCTGAGACTTGACCCAATTTTAAAACGAACTACGAGCGCGTTCAAGAAATCTGACGCAACCAGGCCACCTGCTGTTTTGTTGCCGTGGAGACGACAGTTTTATGTCACGCTCCCCGTAAATGTAAACAAACATGGTAACGTGAAAAACTCACTGGAATAGAGTAGAATAGAATTATGCTTTATTGCTAATTGCTGTACTATTTTTTTGAAATTATCTACATTAAACTATACATACATACATAATATATTTTAAATAAACTACATAATAACACTGAAAA